AGTACTTAGTACTGAAGGATAGGGGAAAATGTTAACATCTACCCGCTCAAAAAGTTGTAAGAAAAGTCAGGTAATGTGGATGAAGGTCCCTGACATCTTTAAAAATCTTCTTGACATCAAAATTTTTACTTGTCACTAAAGCCACAGAGGTCTTACAAATGCAGTGTGTCCCCAGTAGGCAATTCCACCCCTTCCCAGACAGCCTCACGGTCCAAGCTGGCACCAGGACTGCACCCCCTAACCCCAGACTGGGAGAAAGGCTGGTAGGTGGTCTTGAATGTCCCCCTCCAACTAGACCTCTCTGGTGGAAAGCAGATTCTTCAGCTAGTGAAGGCTCTGCATGATTCCATCTGAGCACCTTCCATTCTTGTCACTGGACCTTTCCCCCTTTCTATTCCAATCTTGATTGTCCCCATTCAGAGGACTTGGAATTTCCAAGACCCCTTCTGCTTTCCTTGGCAGTAGCCACCTCCTCCTGCGCCTACTCGTCCCACCCTGCTCTCTGCCCCCTTAGCAAACACCATGTTTTCTGTACACTGCCCCACACTGTACTCACCTGAAGGAAGGTGTATGCCAGAGCAAATGATGGAGAGGCCGAGAGAATGCGAGAACTAGATGGGAACAGTATTTCAAAAAAGTGTCCAGTAACAGCAGTCACTGTCCTCTTTGCAGCCTAGGAAAAGCCTGATTAGAATGAAAAAGAATCCACAGAATAAATGGATTCTTGCTGAGCCCCCAATTCAGAGGTTACTCTTCAGAGTTGGAATGCCTCAGCCTCAAATTTTACACAGACCTTCTGCACCCTCTAACCTAAAAATATCTTTCTTCCTCTCTTTTTTTTCTCACTGTCAGTCAGGGTAGAGTGTCAGCCCCAGTCCACAAGAAGGAGTTGAAAAGTGATGCTTTAGAAAGCAGGCATCCGAAACTGGAGAAAAATATATGCATTCACTACTCCTCCCTTCTCACACATAAACACACACACAGAATCATAAAGCACACTGCCTCCTCTTCTGTTCTACCACTTGCTGTCTGGTTTTTCAGCCCCCAGAGTACAGTTGCTGCCTGCTAAGAATCCTCTGTCTCTTTGCTGGCATTTGTTTCATGGTGCCATTTCTTTCCATTAGCATGTGTAGCTGAGACGGGACTAGACCCTTCACTCTGAATTGCATAGCTACAGTATAATCACTTGCTTTATTGGTTATCTGAAATAGTTTTTTGCAAAATCATAAGTTGGCTTCCTCATGCCATGCAGGTCATTTTTCAGTTGATTTCATTTATCACCAGTTCCTTTGTGCTGAAAGGAACAGCTGAATTTTTCTTGAAATGATCACATACTCTGTGCAAAAGTGCTTTATTGCTTTAATTTTCAAAATACCTTCACAAGACAGGTGCTTACTGTATTATTCTCAAGTTATAGATAAGGAAACTGAGGCTTACAAGGGTGAAGTAACATGTCCAGGTCATTCAGCCAAGGAAATGGAATTCATATCTCACTCCAGCATCTGTATGGTCCCAAAATGGATCATTCTAAAGTGCAGGGGCTTATATGAGCTTCCTCATCCTGTGTCTAATCCCAGTGTCTGCCTGGTACTCTGTGTCCCTTTCTAACCAATCAGACTTGCCATTCCTGGCCATAGGCTTGGACCCAGAAAGCCATCTGCTACCACTCATCTTAATTTCATTTCTCCACATCAAGAGCACCAAGCAACACCAGCCACATCCATTTCATGTATAATGTTGAAAGCCGTTTGGGGTTCGCTATAAGTAACATGCAGGAAAATAATGGGGAAGAATCACTCATTTCTAGTGAGTGATACTGTTTCAAATCCAAACATAAAGAAATGAGTTGTTTACACCTGACTAATCTGAAAATGCACCCTATTTAGTAAGGCAGTTCCTGGAATGCCTATGCTCTGCCAATGAGGCACCTGAATAATTTCAGAGGACTTTCCTGTATGGAGCTCCCAAGTGCTTTGCAAACATTTTTCCTCATTAACTATCACACCATTTTTTCTGTGGCAGAATATGTTGTCCTATTTAAAATGTGGGACTGCTGATGCCTTGAGTGATTTAAGCAAGTTGCCCTCAGGTCACACATTGACAAGACCTGGACCAGAGTCCTCTGGGGCGTGGGCCATGGTGGACAGAAGGCCACTAAATCTGCAAAGGAGGGTGGCAGGTGCTTGGTCCAACTCCTCAGTTACAGAAGGGGAACAAACCCATAGAGATGAAAACACTTAGAAAACCCAGGGTGACATGGATAATTAACGGCCAAACCTTGGTGCTAAGTGCACAAGGTGCATATAAACAACATACATATATAAGCTATGGAGGGAGAGACAACACCTGTGAAGAACCAACTGATAGATTAGAAAGGTGTGAAAGTAAAAAGCCATCATCACTGACCTTGTCTAGAGGAAAAAATACACTATAAGAAGGTGAAAGTTTCAAACAGCAGGAGAATTTTTAATACAAACCAAGTTTCAACTTCCTAGCAGCCAAAATACCATCTGGAACTTTAAGAAGGCACACTACCCATTAAAGGTGACAGGTGGACATAGTTTAAAAGATAGTTGGCCGGCCTGTCATAGCCTCTAGAAAGTGTACTGAAAGCACAAGGATGGCAAAGACCAGCTTGAGTTCCAAGCATGTTTACGGCTGACAGAAATGTTCCAACTAAAAATAACATGCATGACTGTTTCTCTTAGGGAATCTCTTATTTAAAAAAAATGTACCTATATAAACACCATGCAGAGATTGAACTCTTCATGTAGGAATAAGGCTTTTAAGCTTCCCATTGTAGCCTAAAAGTGAAACTCTTCTATCCCTGTGACCCTATGGCTCATGTTGTTTCATCCATAAAGATGAAGAGAAGGAAAACTGGAAGACAGCAGAGCAGAGAGAAAGCCAGGCCAAAAAGGTTGTGATTAACTAAAGGAAAAAGTTCAAAGTTCAACGAAATTGGTTTAGAAATTTGTGGAGTTATAGTTGAACCAAATAGCCATTTCTTAGGATCATGTGCTTCAAAATATATCTTTTTCTGTTTACAAACACATCGAAAAAGCTTTCCAGTGAGATGAAGTTTCATAAAACATATCATGAATAGAAAGCACTAACCCTCAGCTTGGCACACAGTCAGCATGTATGTGATTGTGTTCCTCACCGTCATCACTAGGACACACCAAACCTCTTCTGTTTCATGATGGAAAAAAATGGCAAGACAGTCAAGGCACATATTTTAAATGGAAGTTAACTAAAATTCAAGAACTAGATTTCCTACCCTGATGCCTTGTTCAGATGTTGAAATATTAACCAAAGAGTTTCAGAGGCTTCAGGCTTTAGGTTGGGTTATGGAAATGGCTTCCTAGGTGGCACTAGTGGTTAAAGAACCTGCCTGCTAATACGGGAGACATAAGAGACGTGGGTTCAATCCCTGGATTGGGAAGATTCCCTGGAGGAGGGCATGGCAACCCACCCCAGTATTCTTGCCCAGAGAATCCCATGGACAGAGAAGCCTAGTGGGCTATAGTCCATATGGTTGCAAAGAATTGGACATGACTGAAGCGACTTAGCACACATGCATGGAAATGTCAACCCACGCAAGGGTTTGGACATGACTTAGTGACTAAACAGCACACAACAATGAGAGGGTACACGGACAGACTTTCTGTGTGGGCTGCCTGCCTTGGGCAGTCAGTGGTGAGGTGGGAGAGATGGAAACACCATAATGTAGTTCACCTCACCCCCCAAGAGCAGAGATGAAGGCAAACAGCACCAACAAAAACAAGTCTCTATTTATCCAAAGAGACATTACAGGCCCATGGATGTTACTTATAGAAGACTATTTCATGTGGTCATTCAGTGACAATATTCTTATTTACATTACAGCTTTTAACAAGTTTTATCATTTGGTTTCTAAGCCAAGAGCAAACCAAAGCAGTAAACTGAGGAGAAAGAAGGGTTTCAGCCAACACACTGAGAGCAAAGAAAGAGAAAACTATTTTTAAAATTGACCCAAGAGTTCAAAAAAAGCATATGGAACCATTTAATGGTGGAGGAGGGATGGATAGTCTTGTAATAAGAACACCATGCAAGTATTCCCACACCACTCTTGGTGGTCTGCAAAGCGATTTCATATGTATTTTATGTCAACACCAGCTCAGTGAGGTAAGCAGAACTATGTACCTCAGAGGCATTTGGAGATTCGTCAGAATGGCAGGCTGTGCCTTGGTGCCTAGATTTAAACAGGACCATTTGACTCTGAGATCATCATGCTATCTACCACCTACTCAACCTCCACACAAGACAAGGCCAATCTGCAGCTCAGGGCAGTCTAGACAGAATAACCAATCAACTCCCTAAATTTACATTTTGTGGAGATTTCTGTCTAAAATAGATTTTTTTAAAAATCAAAGGCATAGCTCTTTAGAATGACTTATTCCTACAAAAACCAATATTTTCCAGACCTATGATCCAGGCACAAGTGCCTTTACTAAACAAAATACTGGAAATGATTATTGTCTCCAGAGAGGCAAGCTATGTCACCACCATCCTAAGTTCCCAAAGATTCTAGAGATCCCTATGTTTCCAAAAGAACTTTTCTCTCTCTTATTTCTTATGTGCTTAATGATGCAAATAGCAGACATACAGCTAATGAAGGCATTGAAAGTGACCCCCTTGAAGTAGCGCTCGCTCTCTCCGCAGATCTTAGAAGACTTTTACTGGAGAATGTCATGTAGCTTTCCAAGAGAACCATTTTCTGGCATGGGGACCTGAAGCACTCTAAACTTTCCTGGCAGCACCTTGAAGCAAGGTTTCTCAGAACATGAGAGGCCAAGAAGGACTGGATCTTTCCAATCAGGGGTGCTCTGTTGACCAATCAGATATTTTTTTTTAATGTTTTTGTTTTTGTTTTCTGTTGTCTTGTTTTTCTGTCTCTTGTTCTCCCTCCCTGGCTGTGTCTCGCTCTGTTCGTTCTGCTGTCTTTCCCCTGTGGCCAGGTGAGAAGCCCCACCAATGCAGCATCTGCTGGCGCTCCTTCTCCTTAAAGGATTACCTTATCAAGCACATGGTGACACACACAGGAGTGAGGGCGTACCAGTGTAGCATTTGCAACAAGCGCTTCACCCAGAAGAGCTCCCTCAATGTGCACATGCGCCTCCATCGGGGTGAGAAGTCCTATGAGTGCTACATCTGCAAAAAGAAGTTCTCCCACAAGACCCTCCTGGAGCGACACGTGGCCCTGCACAGTGCCAGCAATGGGACCCCTCCTGCGGGCACACCCCCGGGGTCCCGCGCTGGCCCCCCAGGGGTGGTGGCCTGCACGGAGGGGACCACCTATGTCTGCTCCGTCTGTCCAGCAAAGTTTGACCAAATCGAGCAGTTCAACGACCACATGAGGATGCACGTGTCTGATGGATAAGTAGTATCTTTCTCTCTTTCTTATGAACAAAACAAAACAACAAAAAAGAAACAAACAAAAAAGCTATGGCACTAGAATTTAAGAAATGTTTTGGTTTCGTTTTTACTTTCTGTTTTCGTTTTTGTTTCATTTCATTTTGTACTACATGAAGAACTGTTTTTTGCCTGCTGGTACATTACATTTCCGGAGGCTCAGGGGGAGTAATAGTTCTCCCAGTCTCCCTTGGATGGTGGCCTTAAGGCCTGGTAGTACTTTGGAGGTCCACTGGTTGGATCTCTAGCTACTGGCCTCTAAATACAACCCTTCTTTACAAAAAATCTTTAGAAAAAAAAAAGTTAAAAAAAATTTTTTTTCACTTGTGAAGAGCACTACAAAAATATATAACAAAATCTAAAAGGCCTACTGTCTTTAAGTACACCGCTTGCAGTGTTTCAGTGGACATTTTCACAATTCTGGCCACTTGGACTTCACAGTAACCATTTTAAACTGTGGAATATAACTTTCTGGTTGAAAACCCAGAGGGAAGGCCCTGCTCTTTTCCACCTACCAGGTTGTCTGATTTCCATAAAAAGGGCTGTGGGGGTGGGAGGGGGTGTAGGTTTGATGGTGAGGGGAAGACAAATGGCCGGCTTCTCCCCCAGATTCTGCTGGGTCCACACACCTTGGCCCACCTCCTCCACACCCCCTTTTCAGCAGAAGCCAGGAAGACTTGGACAAGCATCAAGCAACAGTGGCTATCGTATTTATTCAGTGTCTTCGCTGAGCTCCAGCCTCAGCACAATCAAGAGGGACTTTCATGAAAGGCAGGAATGCAGATAAAACAAAGATATCAGAGGTTTGCACCTACGTTTCTAGGTACAAGAGAAGGATTATTTCCAACAATCTTTGCAAAAAAAAAAGTGTCAGGATATATTCTTGTGGAAGAGAAAAAGAAAGAGAAATGGAGGGTGGGGGGAATAATAAAAAGTTCTTGAGGCTTTTTTAATTCAAAATTTTATAGAGGGGCAAAAGTGACATTTACCAGATAGAATGCTGATTTTTTTAATATATTTACAACAGTATTTGTGTAAAAAAAATACAAAAAAAGTGATATTGTTAAAAGTAATTTTTTTTCATTTTGGTTTTGCATACACTGCCACCAATCCCTTCTCTTTTATTTCACACACATATATATATTTTTTGGTAAGTCAAGACTGTTAAGGTTAGCGATACTGCTTCCAGATAGAAAGAATAAAAGGCAATTAAAGTTATATTTGAAAGAGAGGAAGGATATTTTCTTCATATTTTTTTAAATTTTTCTTAATTTTTATTATTTTAAGTATTGCCTGAGTTGATGAGGGCCTCTGGCCAGCCCATCCCTGCTGTAATTTGAACTGCTGCTTTGTATTTTGATACGTAGTTTTTCAACTTTTAGCAAGCTTATGTTGCTCCACTGAATATTTTTTTCACCAATTCATCTAGAATTCTGTTCTTTTTCACGGGAGGGACTTTATCTTTCAGAAACAGATTTCTTGCTTCTCTGAAAGTTTCATTGAGATCTTGTGATTCTAGAATTTCTATTGACTACCTTTTTTCTTTGATGAAACACTAGTACTCTAGAGGTCTTGACAAATGGGTCCTTTCCTTTTGTGGTCAGCCGGGAGGAGGAGTTCACGAAACTCTGCTGTCCCTCCTCACCCTTCACAACTATAGAGAGCGGCATTATCAGAAGCCTGTTACAGATCAGGATGCCTCAATGTCACAATCACTTTCTTCCTTTCAAAGATCAGCTTCTGTTCCCACCCTGGTTGAGAGGGCTAAATAAGATGATTATTCTTTAGATGCCTTATCAATCCTTGCTTGTTGGTAAGGTTTTAAAGAAACTAACAAAAATCTCCCAGATGCGCAACATCCATCATCCGGAAGACCAATTCATTGCATCATCTTAGATGCCACTCTCTCTTCCTAGTTGAGATTTCTCTCCTCGGTCCTGATCAAGGTATCAGAATAGAGATTTTCCCATTATAGACAGTGTTCTAAAGGGATTCCAACTCAAACACAGGAATTCTTAAACCTTATGAAAACTCCAAAGGTGATTTCACTGCTGGGCATATTTTAATATATGTAAGGGGGAAAGTAAATCTTTAAACAAAGCAGAAACACTAAAGTGTAGTTTTTTTTTTAAAAAAAGGAAAAGTGTATCTCAGTTTCAAAATTACTTTGCATTTTCATTTAATTTTCCTATCAGCAACTTATTTATTTAAAAAAAAAAAAAAAAAAAAAAACCTGTGCAACAAATGGGGAGAAATCTTCCAAGGGAAGCAATTGTATAATAGCTAAATTGGTTTTACTCATCATTTTAGAATTGGTTAACTAGTATCTTTTCTATAAGTTTTTGCTGATAATTAGTAAGGTTAGTGCAACTGGTGTATATGTGAGTTTAATTTGGTCCTGTGGTCCTTAATTCAGTAAATATTTTGCTAGAAATTTTAATGTAGCCATGGATGATTAACTGACCTTTAAGTATTACCCATTGTGATTTCTAAGAGGAGTCCTACCACAAACTATGTATCCAAAACTGACCTGTTTTAAAAGCTGGTGGAAAATAGCTTTAGAAATAAGAAAAAGTCCATTTTCTTTTGCTAATTGTGCTTTTTGAAGTAGCTATCTTAGACTCCAGTATTTCCACCTACTACCAACAGAGGGAGCATTAGTTAATTAACCATGTCATAGAATTTTGATATTTTGAAAAACAAGTCATTCAACCCATGATGTAACACAGAAAAAAAAAATTGACATTAAAAAAGATCTTTGTAATCTAAAGGAAAATGACATGAAATCACTCAGCATATGTAAATGGAAGAAAGTCAAGCGTCACTTTAAAATATTTTGAATTATTTGACAGTTGCTGGTTTAAAATGGTGTCCTTACTCAAATCTTAGCAAAGTAGACAACATTATAGGACCCTCAGAAACTTGATCCTGGATGCCAGTATGGGCCACATTCAGCTATCTGCTTCTCAAATTTGAGAGAGACCCATTTGCCTTAATGCTGGTTTGTCACATAAAAACTGAGCAATTGGGTTAAAATTTACCTTTTGTTCTAGAACATGTAAGAGAAAAAAATTCCAGTTGAGTTTAAACCCTAATATTCATCTTTCCCCTTCAAATGAAGTATTTCTCTGTTTTTTAAATGTTGAAGGACCCCTGAAGAATTCCTAATGAGTTAATCATTTTAATGATATGTGCTATCCAGGTTTATATAACAGTAGGCTTTTTCTTACTGTGTGTATATTCCTCCCAGACATCTCATGGTCCAAAATAGTTGACAGATTGTCCTCTGGAGAAAGGAAGACGCTAGACTGAAGTTGGAGATGTAAGTTTGGGGAGCAGTGAACTTGCTGTGGGGTTGTTACTCCATACTCCGGTCTCTGAAAGAGCTGCTTTCTGAACTGACTTACATTAGGGGAAATAAACCAGTCTGTACCTGTTTCAAAAGGATAAAGGAACTTTTAGTTTATCAATCCTTCCTTTTAACTTAAATAATCATCAACATCTTAGGAAAGGGGAAAACTTTTGCTTTGAGAATAGAATATGAACATGGATTCTTTTTTATTTTCTAGTTTCAAATCCAACAATCTTCTTACATTTCGAACATCATGCTAGGATGTTATGAGTGCTTTTAAAAAAGAAAATTTTCAGTAGCCAGGAAAAAAAAAATAGATGTAATGGAATCAAATGTTCCAGATATAAGACCTCTTAGGATAAGTACAGGGAACAAGAACTGGTATGGAAAAGTACTTTTTTTTTTTTTAAGCAATTTAGGATTTAAAACTGGATTAGCTGGACAAGGGAAAGGAGAAAAGTCAAAGGGGAATGCTTATCTCAAGACATTTAGATGTAGTTTATGAAAAATAAAACATCCTAGCCCTAAAACATCAGTAGCATCTTAACAGAGCTGGCAATTTTGTCCCTATTAATATAATAAATGCTAATAATTGTACCTACCCCCCTAACTCCCAGGAAGTAAAATAGAACCCAAAAAAGGGAAGAAATTGGGACACATGGATCTGATACAAATCTACATGGGGAAAACGTTGAGAAACAAGCCAGGCCAAAAAGGAATCTGAAATGAAAATCTCTATATCAAAATATTTCTTACTATATAGTTTGAATTGTAAACTTTAGTTTTTAATACAATTTTATACACTTTTTCTTCCCCAAATCCCTAATGCTCTAAATTTGTTTGTGCCATGAGTAAGTGTCATGGATAATTTCCTGCTGTTGCTCAGGCTGAAGCCCATTTCTTCCTAGGCATCTCGGAGGTCACAGTAGCTCCTGGCCTTAGAAAGACTTGAATTTTCTTTGTTTAAAAGTCACAAGGTTTTGTTTTGTATCAGCCCAACATTCTATAAGGACCAAGAAAACTTCTAACTCATGAACAGTTAGAATGTGTGCAGTGTGATATGAAAAGAGAAAAGGTTTCTTCTGGGTGTTAGCTTCACACTGGTCCTAAAGACCTCCTATACCCCCATCATCCAAGTACACCAACAGTACGTGCAAAGGAGAAGTAGGCACCACCTGAGATGCCCTTGGAATTTAGAAGAGAGGGGGTGCCCTGTCTGTTGTGACCTGACTTAAAAGACATCGTATGAAAGAATTATTTAATGTAGTCATGAGTTGAAGTCCAGGGACCTGGGAGCCATGGGGAAGAGAACAGAAGGTTTGCAAAATGTATTCAGCACCCAATAATGCAAAGCCAGAAAGCACCCAATCACAAAACTAGGAAGTTTGGCAAGATGTATTTAGAGAAAGCTCTGGGCTTTTCCACGGGTAGGGTCAACAGACTTTCTTTTGAGTGATTTCTGGCTCTGAGAAACCTCTTTACTTACTATAAAAGAACTTTATTTAAATGGCCAATTTTGTCCCCCAGAGAAAGATTTTATAAAGAGAAAAACAGGACACTAAAGACACAACCATGTGACTTGGTGTCACACAAAAGGAAGGGGCCACCAGAATTTCAATAGACTCCCTGATTCCACAGAAGAGCCAGGCAACCCAGTGCCCTTCGGTGCCTAGTGTGTGAAGAAAGTGCTTGAGCCGCGTCAGGCTCCCCGAGGCCAAATGCGACCTTGCAGTGGGGCGGCCGCAGCTGTTTCCCCTTCTGTGTTCTCGCAGAGAAAGGGGCTTGTCTCCTAGGTGCCCAGGAAATAGATGGCACGGGGCAAACTTTCAAAACAATCTCTGCCTTGGTGCTCAGGCTGCAAATGGAGACAAAAAAGGGGCACAGAGGAGCTCTTGCTCTGGAGAGAACATTCCCAACAGCTGTTTGTGCAGAGTTGCCATTTGTGATGCTGCATCAACCTCCCCAAGAAGGAAAGCTGTGGTGACTCAGTGTCCCTGTAAACACAGAGCTTGGAAACTAATAACCCAAAGCATCATTTCTGGTACTAGATACTCAAGTGATTAACCTGACCAAAACACCCCAAAGATCTTCCTCAGTCTCTGCATATCTACAAAACATTGACTCTGTAGCAGTCAGTGGTGCACGTTAAGAGATACCAGGAAATGGTGTGAACACTAGGGTCTGTTTGGATTCTTTTAGGGTGAAGAGGTAGAAGATGAGGGTTGCACAGCATGGGTCCCTTTTCAGAACTATGTATTTCACTGAATGAGGTAGAAATGCCCTGTGTTGAAACAAGAAACATCATTTTTCCGCACTGCTGACCAAAAATGCCTGGATTCCAGTGGTTCTTCAGGTCCAGCCTATTGCTCCAAAAACTGAATAATTTCAGACTAAATCTAATCTGAAGTGACCTCAGTTAAGGTATTTTCACAGGAAGCCACTTATAGTAAAGAATTACTGCCTTAAATCAAAGCCCAGGGAAGAGAACAGAAATAGAGAGATTGGAAGGGTGTGAAGACGTGGCCCTTTCTTGCCTTTTAATGGTTGCATTATTGCAAAACTGAGCCCTATTCATGACTGAAGACTATGGAAACAGTGACTTTACAGGGAGGCACCAAACTTGTACGGAACTGGCTGCTTTCAGGAATGGCTGCTATTTCTTATCGTATTTCGGTGACATACATCTGGGCTGGATGCAAAATAGACATCCTATTAGCTAAATAGTGAGTCCCATGAAACATGATCACAGGTGTCTAAGATGCTAGTTGATTCATTTCCTTAACAGGGAGAACAATCTCAACAAAAAGCTTTCTCTTCCTGTTCAGTGTATATCGCTAAACTTTTTTTTTCTCAGTTTCAGTGAGCATCTGGTTTATCTGGTGGCTTTTTGTTTAAATGCAAACTCACAACTTTCAAATCTTCAATGAAGGAGCACAGTCTGCAGATTGTAGGGAAAATCTAGCCACAGTTATTGGAGTCCTGGCTTTTGCAATACCTAATTAGAGTGTAAAAAGTCCCTAACTAGCCTTCTTTCAAATTCAGTGGTTTCCTTGATTCAAAATGCTTCAATGAGATTCTAATACACCCAAGACAGAAAAAAAAAAAAAAAATTAACCCCCTAGGAGACATCTGTTTCTACTACTGTTGCAACAGAAGTTTGTCATTGCCCGGCAAAACCATTGCAATTTATATGTAGATTCTAGTAATGAAAGGGACTTAACCCATCTAGTATGTCACAGCTGCTGTCCAAAATGTCTGTAAATGAGTATACATTATGCATGTACACACGCAGTGTGAGGTGCTCTCAGTACAAAACTGTTCCACATTCATATTCCCCAGTGACAACAAGATAGAGTCTGGAATTTCTAGTTAGAGGTCTCACATATCTCATGCTTCTGCTCTGTTGCCTTAGTTGGATGCGTTAGTGCTGTCCACTGTCTGTAATGAGGCTTTAGGACATTCTGAAGGAGCCCAACCATCAGTAATTTCTGTATACCCCTTTCATGAGAAACTTGAATATGCTTGTATGAAGTAGAGTGCACTTAACCAACTGCGCTTCTATGGGGTTTATTGATGTGTGTGTGGACATGTGTCTTTGCATGTGTGCTTGCTGTAGTCTGGTCATGTGTGCATCTCAAACAAAGCACACATAGGCATAGGTCCTGGTGCATAGATACCGTTGCCTCTTCCCACCACTGCACTCAAGGCTGGTGGCTCCCTTCCCAGGAACCAGTCACCTGCCCACTCTGTTGCTTTTTGCAGCATTTCAGAGTTAGGAGAAACAAAGGCAGCTTGTTGGATCCACAGCGAACCCACAGTGACAGGCTGCTCTCCTCCAGAAGAAGGTAGAACAGATGTCCTCCACTGGCAAGTAGACAAGAGGGAACAGCAGTCTGGGGCACCCCCTCTTGCCCAGGTTTCCTGTGGAGGAAGGGCACTGAGGCCAGGCAGGCAAGGCCCTTACAGACTTTGGCCCAAGCCCTTCTGTGGCTCAAAGTCCTCCATTCCTTTCCTCTATGCAATCCAGTGTATGCGCACAAACAACAAGTGTATGCCCACCCACTTGTGAGTTTGACTCCCAGACTAAAGCTTCCTTAATCCTGCCTGCATCTGCAGGAAACCATCATCATTCATAAACTGTGTCTCCTGAAACCAGTGTGGCCTTTGCCGAAGTCTTTCCAGGAGTGGGTTGTTTACCATGTCTAGCAGACCAATAGACTCTCAGAAGAATCTTTTTTGGTAATCTCTAAGAATTGACGGCTCTTGCCCATCTCAAACATTAAAGTAGAATGTGTTCTAGTGGACTATTCTGAACCAACAGACCTGGCTCTCACAGCTGACTTTGAAGGGTGGCCTGGAAACAGTCGAATTCAGTTTTCTCCACTCCCATGCCTTTCTTTTATTAGGTGACTTCTTATTTTTTATGACATGTGGATTATTTCTGCTCACAGAATTCAGAGGACGTTTTCTTTCCTCTTCTATTTTGATGACTCTTCCCCTCTCCCATTAAGTAAAGCTATTTACAGTTGCAATCTTTTTTGTTGTTATTATTTTTAAAAATGTATATTGTCTTTCTATATCCAAAAGAAGTCTGTGACTGTAACCATAGGTGTTTCTTTTTACTGGAAAAAAAAAATGATTTTTTTTTTTTTTTTTTTTTTAAGGTTGACTTAAGAGTGACTTCATGGAAGAATATGAGTTACTATTTAGGTATGCTTACTTAAGTACAGTACACTACATTGCAGTATTTCTGAAAGCTAGAACATACACATTATATATAACAACTCTATATTGAAATATATATTACCTTATATTCATTTTTCCTTTTGAATCTGCCTACAATCACAAGTTGATTGAAATATTATTTCTTTACATTTATCACCCATCACCAACCTGCTGCAGTTAATCTGGTGCATTTAATAATAATCATTACTGCTCTAGTTTGCTTTTTATATTATCAGCTTGAGTATTGTCTTTACAGGATTAAAATTTTTTTTTTTTTTAAGCTCGGACTTAGCAAATGTAGGAAAGTGAAAACTTTGTTAAGAAAAACATTTTTTTGGTATGGTTGACACAAAGAGTTTCATAGTCACAGTGATCTTGTTTAGCTGACCCTCTCAATATCTGAAGAACAAAAGAAGTGTATATGAATGTATCTGTGATTTTCCCCTCTAGGCCTGTCAGTGTCTATATTTGCTTTTAAAAATATGACCAAGGGGCCACTTAACCTCCATATGATCTGGCCAACAGTTATAGGCTGCATTTCAAAGGGCTGCTCATCTGAGAAGCAGAGGCAGTTAAATGCCTAGTTGTCCCAACTGTATTTTCAAATACTGATTTTTAATACTCGTTCTTTACTGACTACTTTCTGTTTTCAGTATGCCTACAATTATTTTAACTTGTCTTCTGTGCTTCCCTGGAGGCAGCTTAGCAATATAATATTCATTTTCCTAGGAGTTTTGGTTTTTTTAAATAAAATCAGAATTTGAGGAACTTTTTCATGACAGAGGCTGATAGAACTAGAACTCAGAAATGTGTAGATACTATGTCACCCTCAGCATCTCCAGTTGTCTGTTTAAGTGGGGACTTGTTGCCTTTCTTCTTTAAGGCCCCCATGGAAACATCAGAAATAGGCATCCTGTTTCCCTAGCAAGAAGTATTTCCAAACAGTAATTTTAGATAAAGAGCTTCTTCAGCTTCCCTCAGTCACTCAACATAGTGCCTAAACAACCCCACAGATGGATAAACTTCTCATCTATCCTGGGTGCCCAAGACCAGCTCCACATTCAGGACAAGATGAAAACAGCTGTTCACCATATTCAGCGTGAGAGCCCTTCCCACACTGAAAGGCTTCTCAGTGTAACACCAATTCCTCCCTTTCATCTTTTCTAGCAGATGTTTATTTTCAAATCCCACCCCATTCTCCTGTGCCCCTTCAATAAGTCCCACACCAACCGCCACCCCCACCCCCACCCCCTCATCGCACACACTGTTCCTTATCCAACTCCACCTGTGCCCTCCACTTACTCATTAAGGAATTACCTGCTCTGATCTGCTTGGAAGGAGTATTGAGTCCAAAAGCAAATTATCCATCTGTTTCTTCAAAGTTTTCAACTACATATATTTCTACTGAAAAGAAAGTGAGAAGTGAAAGTTAGTCGAACAGTTGCGCCTGACTCTGCGATCCCGTGGACTGTAGCCCGCCAGGCTCCTCTGTCCATGGAATTCTCCAGGCAAGAGTACTGGAGTGGGTTGCCATTTCCTTTCCCAGGGGGTTTTCCCAACTGAGGGATTGAACCCGGGTCTCCTGCAATGCAGGCAGACTCTTTACCACTGAGCCACCAGGGAGCCCATAATTGTGAGTTGAGGGTGAGGGGGAGCTGTTCCTTTGCTTCGGACCCCTTGATACCCAAACTGTATGAACTTCACTATTTTTCTCTTTCCTTTTCCTCACTCTTTGTTCCTTTTAATTATTATTATTTCTTGTTTCTCTTTAATACTTTACCTGTTCCTCTCCTCACTGCCTTAAGAATGCTAGTCATCTTGACCTCTGAGGGCTTATTTCCCTCCCTTCCCCTTGCCCCTTCTGAATGTCCTTCTTTAAGCTTTATGTGGTGAACGAACATTGACTCGAGTGAGCTCAGCAGACTCGTAGGCAGAGTGAAGCATATCTTCACCGTACTTTCAGGTCTTAAAAGTTATCAATATTCTTTTGAGGGTGGGAGGACCTGAGTCACAGTTTTAAATGTCAGCCGTATTTGCTGAGGTCATGAATTCTTTTCACCTTCACATCTGGCCAAAGATAAAGAGAAAAATATTTTCTGGCTTTTTTTTTCCCCCCGCTTTTCTTAAATACCACAGTGTTTGAATTCATGATATGAGTAGACCATTTCTGAGAGGGAGGAAAAAAAATCATCAATGATGATTCTTTCAACTCCTACTAATATTTAGCAAAATGACATAGTTGCCAGATGCTAGACTTAGAGAAATCCAATGAAAGGGGTCACATTTCAGAATAATTTTGATAACGATTCAAGCCTTAATGAGCTCTTCTAAAACAAGTAAAGCCACTTCCACTCAAAGGCATAGGAGACAATTAGGAAGAATTATTTTCTTTCATTTATCTTTTTGAAAAACAATTGTTGATTGGTTTAGAACTTTAAGCAGTAATTTACTAAGGGATGAAAGGATTCCTAAAGTTTCTAAAAATGTCTATTTTGCAATCAGATGTTTTTTAAAAGATAAAGTTAATCTGTGCTTAAATAGAATAATATTAGGGTAGAACAGATACTTGAAGAGCCATGCAATACACTCCCCAGTACCTAAGCATTCACCATGTGACTTGGTCATCATGCTAGGTCTCATTTCAACTCGCATCTGGTTGCCAGAGCATTGTCCCAAAGACTCATAGAGCTCTGGGTCTACCCCTTTATAGGATGTTAAGGACGCAATCCAAGCAACTCTATAACACAGTCTTTCTTGACCTGAAAGTCCAACACTTACTGTGATACTGCTTTGGCTCTCTGCACTTGGGAGGACCATTCCATGGCCTTTAGAGCACTACCTAAAGGTTTTGAGCACGCAGGGATGTACTTTCATTTCTTGCTTTACCTGTTGACAAACAGAAGCAACATTCATGTCAGAAATGGAGTCTGAATTTGATTTGAGGCTTGACCCAGTTTTTACTGTAATCAAACCAATTTTTGACATCATCTCACACCATAGAGAACAATAAGATAGAGATTCAAAAGAATCTCTGAGACATGAGTGTAATAGGAAACCAACACTTCTTAAAGTCAGTATTATGTTGCTTACAACTGTCATTTTAATTGAACATGTTCTCCCCATCATTCCTATCTCCTTCTCTTCCTTCATCCCTTCTGACTCCTTCTATCTATTTTTTAAAATACTCTTCATCTAAAGTATTCCTCTCCTCAGGCATTAACTTCTGAAAGAATAAAAGACTCTCTTTTAAATCCTGAATGCTGTCATTTAAAGTATAATGTGGAGGAGGAGAGGATCTGGTTCTGTAGGTCCTACCTGGTCCAGATTATCACCAGGATTCCCCCAGGATGCCTTCCTAACATTGTTCCTTTAGCTCTCTAAGAAG